TATATATATATATATATATATATATATATATATATATATATATATATATATATTATATATGTATTATATTATAATATATTATATATAATAATTATATATTATATAATACATAATATATAAATTATAAATTAATTTGTTATAAGTTATAATTTATGTAAAATTATCGGTAATTTATGATAATTTTCTTAAACATTCTTATGTTAAACTAATGTAATATAAATTAATATAACTAATATAATATAATATAAATTATTAATGAACTGCACATTTTTAATTAAACTAATAACTTTTTTAAACCTTATTTTAAGCTATCTTCTTTTTACGTCGGCTGATTTTTAGTTCTTCAGTGTAATCAAGTTCATATTCACTGTCAAACGCGAGATCAAAATTGGCGCGTGTCTAGTCAAGGAACTTGTGCCACACGACTTCACAGTATTGTTACATATTTTTTTGTTTCATAACTTTAAAGTTTAAGATTTAAACTTTAATTAGAATCCATAAAGTATTTTATCATATCTTATTTCTTTGTGATAGAGATTCTAAAAGTGCCAAAAACAGTTTGTTTTACCATTTGACGTTTTTCTAAAAAACGTGACGTGATAGAAATATTGGATTTCAGATTCGTAATCTATGAGAAAAATCCTATCGAAATTACTTGTCATTCTTTTTGTGATAAAATCAGTGTTGACTAGTGTTATTTATAATCTATTGTATAAATGATTACAACTCTGTAATTTAATTCTCTTTGTAAATGAAGTTAATCAATATGATAATACTTGATAAATGTGATGACATTTTTTACGATGGAAAGTTAATAATAACAATAAATTATTTTTCAGTTTTCTCAGGATATCAATTTAAGTGCTTCGAATGCGGTTGCTAAACATCAGCGAACAAAGTCAAGTCCGGAACAATTAGGAACCACAGCGATGTCACCGTCGGAAGCTAGCAGACGTTTAATTGCCTCTGAATCGATGAGTGATCTGTCACCTCCGAAACACGTCGGACACAATGATATTGATATAAAAGAATTGTCGCATATTACACCACCGGGTACTCCACCGCCACCATATCCGGTCTCTACTTTAGGGCACGATATCTTCTCATCCACGCTAAATGATGTAATACTTTTTAAATTTTAACCCATCTAATAATCATATACATGCGTTCTATATCTGATGTATCTACAATTTTGTTTTTTACATGTTGTAGAAAAAGCTAATTGTTTACTTAATTAGAACATTTTTATTTAAACAATTTTTTATTTAAAAAATTTTTATTTAAACAATTTTTTTTCATTTCAATTCAATTCTGCAACTATTAATTTTCAACTTTATTATATTATGCATTTTATACAGTCTTCTCTTGCTTAACATCGGTAGTAGATTGTCAAAAACAACGACGTTAGGTAAAAAAGCGTTAATTGAGCAATTAAATTGTATAGAAAAAATTAATGCATTCCATATACCATTATCAACTGCACCAATTAATTAATATTAACTTAAAAAAATAGATACGGAAGTTTTTTCTTCCAATCTTGATAAATTTGAAATATGTGAAGTTTGGATGAAAATAGATTTGTATTTTTTTAATATATAGGGTGAGGAAAAAAGATATACTCCCAAATAACTCGAATAACTCGAAAAATATAAATTTTATTGAAAAATGTTTCAAACAAGGGTTGTATGGTTTAAAAAGATACATTCAATGATAATATTTATTTGATTTTGGCGCCGCCAAGGTCAGGTCGAGGTCAACTTTGCTGTTTTAAATAGAAACATATATTTTTTATTACGCAATTTTATTCTACGTAAAGAAACGAACAGCTTTTTTTTGAAAACATTTTTTGTATGATCTCTATTTTCTAAGATATTTATTGAAATATCTACAAAATTATTGGCTTCAATAATTTGTTACGCGAATTCTATCAACTTTACCGAAAAATAGCAAGAGATAAAAATTATTTATTTTATTTTCATAGAGCTCTGAAAATTTTTTCAAATTTTTTAAATTAACTATTTAATATTTTCTTACATTTTTTAGAAGTACTAAAAAGTTTATAAAATATTCTGAAAAATTCTCAGAGCTTTATGGAAAGAAAATAAACAATTTTTATCTCTTGCTATTTTTTGATAAAGTTGATAGAATTCGAGTAAAAGATTATTGAAACCAAATTTGTAAATATTTCCTTAAATATCTTAGAAGATAGAAATCATATGAAAAAGTTTTTCAAACAAAAGTTATTTGTTTTTTTATGTAGAATAAAATTCCGTAATAAAAAAAATATATTTCTATTTAAAAAAGCAAAGTTGATCTCGACCTGATTTTGGTGGCGCCACCTAAAGTCGAATAAATATTACCATTGAATGCATCTTTTTAAACCTTACAACTTTTATCTGAAACATTTTTCTATAAAACTTATATTTTCCGAGTTATTCAGAGGTACCGATCTTTTTTCTTCACTCTGTATGCATATATGCACCTTTAAGGAGTGAAAGAATCTTTTGAAAAAATCAATTTTTTTCTTTCGTATCGTGTATAGGTGAAATTATTAAAAAAAAGGAAAAATATTTCAAACAAATTTTGTACGATGTAATAACAGTTGTGCAAAAAATTTTTTATTTATTATATTTTGTAATATATTCCCACCCTTATAATATTTTTTCTAAAATGTAATTTTTTATGACCAAATGAAATATCATTTTATTCCGAATCTAATTATATATAATAATATCGTATTTCGAAATATGGATTTATTAAAACTTTTAAAGGGAAATACTTCCATATACACACTATCTACCTATATCTGTTACATATTGCCTATGTAATCCGTTCGATATATCGACGCAACACGTTCTTTTCGTATTTTTGTTATAATAAGAAACGGCGATTAATATAGATATGTAACTATATAATATTTCTGGATGTATATTTGTTATATTATTTTTGTTATATTACTTTTCTCATTGTTAATATATACAGGGTGTCTGTCCATAGATCTCCTAGCAAATACTTCGCAACTGGTTGAAGTTACAAGAAAGTTTAATAAGAAAAATTTGCACAGCTCTGAGTCAGCAACAATGTCCATATAAAAAAAATTTACTCGTAACTTTTTTGAGTTAACTAAACCATGTTTAAGGTCAACATAGTTTTTTTAAATGGATACCTATAATTTTTTGTGCATATTTATACAGTAGGAATTATTTTCAATCAAAATCATATCCAGTAAAAAATTGCTATTATGTATCGAGATAATGCTACTATGTATCGACATCTTAAGTATTAAAGTAGTAAATTGGATTATAAGGACATTCCAAACCACAGAACGGATTAAGGTGAGCAAGAAAGTCCTGTGCTGCCTTGCGATATTCGCAATAATAGTCGAAATATTAATTAAAAAAGATTGGTGAATGATCACGCGCGATATGATAAGTGAACTGCAGTGGCTTCGTCTGTCGTTGTATACTTATACATTAAGTCAAACTAAACAAAAAATTCCTTTACTATTTTGTAAATGACCACATAGATTTTTAGATATTAATTAAAGAAAATTTGTGCATTATGGTATACAATCATACATGTAACAATTTTTTTTAGTATTTAAAAATCTATGTGCTCATTTACAAAATGGTAGAGGACTTTTTTGTTCAGTTTGATTTAATGTCTAAATATACAACGACAGACGACACCACTGCAGTTCATCTACCATATCGCGCGTGATCATTCACCAATCTTTTTTAATTAATATCTTGAGATTTATTGCGAATATCGCAAAATGGTATAGGACTTTCTTATTCATTTTAATTCGTTCTACGTCGCCGCAAAGTTTGGCCAACTGTTTCTGAAGCAAAAACACCTATATATATAGGGTGTAAAAAAATTAGACCGACAAATTTTAAGAGGAAATAGAGGACATAAAAACAAACATATTTTGTTAATAATGTTTTTTTCTAAGACGCTTCGTTTTAATACTACAGGATACAAAATAGGAATTTTATGATTTTAATAAAAAAACAAACATATAAGTGGAAAAATTAAATTTATTTCAATTATACGTATATATTTTAATCTTTAACAAACAATGAACAAAAGAATGGAACAAAGATTTAATGAGCGCTGGATAGGCCGAAGAGGTCCTATTGCATGGCCTCCCCGGTCATCAGATTTATCTTCGCTTGACTTTTTTTTATGGGGGCATATGAAAACTCTCATTTATGAGATACCTATTGAAACAGAAGCAAAATTGGTAGCCCGAATTACTGCTGCAGCATATCAGGTTCAGAATATTCCTGCAGTCTTCGAGCGTGTGAGACAATCAATGTTTCGACGATGTCATTTTTGTGTTGAAGCAAATGGAGGAATTTTTGAACATTTATTATAAATTGAGCTAATCAATTGCGCATTTTTGTTCTGTTCTTTTGTTCATTGTTTTTTGAAGATTAAAATATATACCTGTAATTGAAATAAATTTAATTGTTCCACTTATATGTTTGCTTTTTTTAAATCATAAAATTCCTATTTTGTACTCTGTAGTATTAAAACGAAGCGTCGTAGAGAAAAACATTATTAACAAAATATGTTTGTTTTTATGTCCTCTATTTCCCCTCAAAGTTTATCGGTCTAATTTTTTTACACCCTGTATATATAGGGTGTAAAAAATTCAAATTTTACAGTGAAAACGAAAATAATAATTTAAAATCATGGGGTAATATGTGGAGTCTGATTGACTCTAAAGGATCATATGAAGGTGACAATGCTTCGTCGGGGCCATAAAGAAGTATGTGAAATCCTATTAATAAATTTCTTTAATAATCATAGCATAGTGACCTTCATATAATTCTTTAGAGTCAATCGGACTCCACATGTTACCCCATGATTTTAAATTATTATTTTTGTTTTCACTGTAAAATTTGAAGAAATGAAAATATTTGGAACAGCCTCCAATTGCCTTGACCTTGACAAATGTTGTCAAGGGCATGGCCCTGAACAACATTCAAAAGGTTTTAGTCGTCT